ATACCCTTTTTCTTCAGGTTTGTATTCACAGGAAGAGTATCTGTGGTACATTTCCAAATGAAGTGTTTGAGGGTGCCTTTAACTTTAAGCAGCCAACCTCTAAGTCTTGCCTTTCTTATAGCTTTTGCATTGTGACTGCTAGTAGGGATGTCCAGCCTAGTAACTTTCTGTTTAATCAGGAATGATTATGTTGAGGAGACAGTGAAGTTACCTTTCTTTTCCAAGCACCAGAAGACTTTGTCCTTCCTGTCTGAGTTTAAAGTGTTGATACTCAGTACTGCCTGGCTATCTTCAGAATTTAATAGTTGTTGCACTAGCCAAGTGTTCCAAGTTCTTCCATTTTCTAGCATCAGCTCTTTTACCCATGTGATGTGGCCTTGAGCTATTTCCAGCAGCTTAGGAGAGGACAAACAAAGGTTTGGATGGGATCCAATTCCAATCAGCAATTCTTGTTTCAGCACCACTCTTGATTTCAGTTCTGAATCCTTGAGCAAAGATGGGCAGGCAATCCAGCCAAGTGTGCCATATCCAGGAGCCATTCTGAGTTTTAGTTGCTTCAAAGATGGAGCAATCTGGAAAATATCTGTCTTTGAGTACTTTACTGATCAAAAGCTCAGGCCAAGACACAATTCTCCATAACTGTTTGCATAACAGTGCTTGATTAGAAAGACTGATATCTTTGAAGCCAATGCCACCATCAGCTTTAGGCACTGTAAGGAATTGCCATGCTTTCCAATGGATGCCCTTCTCTTGTGTTTCACTGTGGCACCACCAATACTGGGTTGTTATGCTAGCAATAGATTTGCAGATAGAAACAGGTAGTCTGAAGCAAGACATGGTGAATACAGGCAAAGCATTGAGCACAGCTTTGATGAGAACTTCTTTGCCTGCTTTTGAGATCATCTTGTTCTTCCAGCTACAGAGTTTAGTTTTCACAGACTCAATAACATAGGCAAAAACTTCAGCCTTGGATTTGTCTATCCCCAAAGGAAGTCCAAGATATCTTGTGGAAGAGTGAATTTGAATTCCTTGAAGAGCAACATAAATTTGGTTCTGAACACTGAAATGAGTATTTTTACTGAAGAATGCAGAGGATTTCTGGAGGTTGACTCTTTGCCCAGTAAAAAGTCTATATCGTTCTAGAAGAGTCATAAGTTCATTTGCTTGGTTGGTCTCTGCTTTACAGAAAAATAAGGCATCATCTGCAAATAGTAAGTGAGATAGAACAGGGCCATTCCTTGATAGCTTCAATCCACTAAGGGTACCTCTGTGGAGTAAATCAGAGATGAGAGCTGAGAGGAGTTCTGTGACAATGATGAACAGGTAGGGGGATAGAGGATCCCCCTGCCTAATTCCTCTTGAAGGATAGATAACACCACTTAATGCTCCATTGATACAGAAGGAAAGAGAAGTAGAAGATACACAAACCATCAGCAGCTTCACAAAGGAAATGTTAAACCCCATTTTAATCATAATTTTCTCAATGCAAACCCATTCAACCCTATCAAAGGCTTTCATAAGGTCTAGCTTTAGAGCCATAAAACAATTCTTCCCATTCCTATGCCTATTTAAGAAATGAAAGACTTCTTGGGATAGGATAACATTATCTAACAGTTGCTTATCCTGAATAAATGCAGACTGGCAATCACTAATGCAAGTGCTGAGATAAGCTTTGAGTCTAATGGCCAGAATTTTAGCAAGGATCTTATAAACAACACTGCACAATGAGATAGGTTTGAACTGGTTCAAAGAAGAGGGGGATTGACATTTAGGGACCAGAATAATGAGAGTATGATTACAGTATTGCAGAAGCATACCTGAATCAAAGAAACTATGGATAGCCTCAATCAAATCAGCTGCAATGATCTCCCAATAATGCTGGTAGAACCAAGCAGTCATTCCATCCTCCCCTGGTGACTTATCTGGGTTAAGACTAAACAGTGAGTTTTTGATCTCCTTAGCTTCAATGGGGCTCATAAGCTTCTGGTTCATGCCATCAGTTATGGATGTAGGAATGAGAGGTAACAGTGAGTCACCTCCCCAAGATCCTTCAGAAGCAAAGAGATTTGAGTAGTAATTTGTAATGTGCTCCTTCATCCTTAGAGCTAAAAAGCCTGACCCTATCAGAGACCAGTCGAGAGATAGCATTTTGCCTTCTTCTTTGGATAGTGTAGGCATGAAAAATTTTAGAATTGGTATCCCCTGTCTTTATCCACTGAGACCTTGCTTTCTGGGCCCAAAACCTTTCTTCAAAAGCATAAGCAGCATCCAATTTAGCTCTAGTATTTTCTCACTCTTCCGACTGATCAAGTTTGCCCTCTGTTCTAATTCTGTCCAGTTTTATGGAGAGATTGGCAATCTTGGCTTGGTTGTGAGTTTTGAATTTGGAGCTCCATTTCAGAAGAGCAAGTCTGGTACATTTCACCTTTTCTTTCTGTCATGAGGAACTCCATCATTGAGTATTAAAAGGGAGTGGTTAGAGGCTGTTCTGGCAATATTCAGAATGCTAGCATTAGGATGAATGCAATGCCACTCAAGAGAAGCAAAAGCCCTATCCAGCTTTTCTTCAACAAAACCTACTGCTTCCCTGTTGTTGCCCCAGGTAAACTGATATCCTTCCATTTTGATCTCCTCCATTTCCATGTTCATGATAAAATTGTTGAAGCTATCAAAGGATCTAGGTTGCCTAGTTCTACCCCCTTGCTTATCCTCCATAGAGCATATGGCATTCCAATCCCCAATAATGTACCAATTATCACCCCAAGAGGGTTTGTCTTCCTCTAACTCTCTCCATTGGGTCTCTCTAGTAGCTCTGTCAGCACTCATGTATACAAATATACCCCATCCCTGGTCCACTTCTTTCAAAGAGTAATGAACAACAATGTAAAACTCCTTAGCAATCAGCTGAGTAATCTCCACATTCTGGTGCCACATAAGAAGAAGTCCCCCACTCAATCCCCTGGGTTCAACTATAGCATGTCCATCTTCAAAGCCAAGTTTTTTGCTGACTGACTTAACAAAAGCAATAGTATTTTTAGTTTCAGATAAGAAGAAGAACTTTGGATGGTGAGTCCTAAAAGACTCTTTGATTTGAGAAACTGTAGAGGGCCCACCCAGCCCTCTACAGTTCCACACCGCAGCTAACATTGGGGGTTTGGGTGCCACTCTAGGCTGGCATCCCCAACCTTGTCAAGGACCACTTTGATTTTCTTGCCTGGAGCTTTCACAATCAGTTGGTCTTCTTCTTCTACAACACTGTCTACTTGTTCTGCTCTGTTCCTTTTATTGCTTGAGTTAGGAACAGTGACTATCTCAAGCTCTCCTTACCTTTGGAGCCTACCTTCTTTTGATGAGGATCTCCTCCATTTAGGGACTTTGGCTATTACCATCTCCTTGGAAGTTTCCTTCCTTTGGTCTGGGTTGGTAGAAGGTGGGAATTCAATCTCCATTAGTCTGACTCCATCCTGAGCTGAGGGGTTTGATGTAACTAGTTCAAGGGATTGAGAGTGAATGATTATTGCTTTATCTGAGGGAGTGATGGAAGGAGAAGAGGTTGATAGTTGCTGCCCTGAAGTAGATCCTACTGTGTCTTGTTGATGAGTATTAGAAAGGAGACCCTACATTGGAGCCTCTATTGGGCTACCTGGCTGCTGATGATAAGAGCTTGTGTGCTGAGTTTTGTCAGCCTCATCCACTGGAGTTTCTCTAGATGGGGAGTGTCTAGAGCTAGAGTTGTTTTGCCCAGGCCAAGATTGGCCATCATCTGCTTTGATCCACTCACCATATTGCCCATCTCTCAGTGTTTTATTCCTGATGTCTTCAATTCTTTTGCAACAAGTTCTGTCAAGATGCCCAATTATACCACAGTAATAGCATAAATTAACTAATTTTTCATACTTGAACCCCACTTTGACTATATCATCATCTAACCGAATATTAGCACATCTGGGTAGAGGTTCATTGATATTAACCGTCACCAAGAGTCTGAGAATCTTACCCCATGGTTCCCAGCATTAACAACTACCACATTACTAACCTGAGGGAACACGTTCCCAATTTTGAGACCAACTTCTGAACTAAGCCAGTCTAAAGGAAGATTGATTACCTGAGCCCATAAGTTAAGTTCCTGGAAACCTTTATGCTTGCGAGTAAGACCAGATTCCCATTCCCGAAGTATGAGATACTGGTTCTCGAATATCCATGTGCCGCTGGCCACCTTTTTCATATCCTCTCTGTTTTTGAATAGGAATTGAAAGAAATTGTGCCCCAGCTCTTTAACCTCCATTGGTTGATGTAGTTTCCAAATGTTGCTCATAGTTCGCTTAATACCTACCCAACTTGCTTTTCTATCTCCAATGACCATCCCAAATAAGCTACGATTGCATTCGACTGCACTGAGTCTGATATCATCTTGAGCGATATCCACAATTGAATTTTCCCTATCTGAGAATGAAAAACCTTGCAGCCTTGCTGCCAGATCCTCATCCCGTCCCACACAATCTTTATTAGCCATTAAGCTTAGCTTGGATCACTGAACCACTGAAAATCTATTGGAGCAATTGAAAGAAATCGGAAAACGGTAGCCGGTCCCACAGAATCGCCGGAGTCGCTCTCACAGGAGAGAATTTTTTTTAGCCTCACTTCCTTTTAATTTTATCAGAATATAAATAACTTAATAAATATTAAATATTAATATATTTAATGCTTAAAAAGTATTTAGTAAATAAAAATAGTACTTTAATAGTATTTAATAAAACCTGATTATATTTTACAAAAGCAAATATTAAAAAAAATGAAATAAAACTAAAACTAAACAAAAATAAAACTAAATATTTTTAATAACAACAAAGATATGTTTTGAAATTTCTCAAACAATGAATTATTTGATCCAAAGTTCCAAACTCCAAGCCCTCCTTTGAATGTAACCCATCCAGATTCATCGGGTCGAATTTACACGTCTATCATCACTTCAAATTTCCCAATTCAAAAACTCGCGCACACAAATTCGTTGGATGAAATTCCTGAAGAGCGTCGATGGCCTTCTCATCCATATTCCGGAACTCAATTCTCTATTTTTGGAAGTTCCCCAACCGTCTTTCCTTCTCCTCATCAGCAGCATCACCACCAACAACGCCAGTTTCCGGCGACAATTTGGTGTTCGCCGCCGTCTCAATCCTCAAGCACCACCGCTCAAAATCCCGGTGGTCCAACCTCCGGTCGCTCCTCGCCACCACCAAAACCACCCCATCTCAATTTTCCGATATCTCCCGCCAAATTCGCAACAATCCTCAATTGGTCCTTCGTTTCTTTCACTTCACTCTCCGCCACACTCTCTCTTCACACTCTCTCACCTCCTACGCCACCGTCATTCACATCCTCTCTCGCTCAAGGCTCAAGTCCGAGGCCCTAGACGTTATAAAATCAGCTCTATGTGCATTTTCTGAAACTCAGCAGGTAACACCGTTTGCAATTCTTGAGGCATTGATGAAAACTTATAGAACTTGTGGTTCTGCACCCTTTGTGTTTGATTTGTTAGTCCTAGCTTGTTTAGAATCGAAGAAGATTGATCTCGCTATTAAGATTTATTCATTTTTGAAGTTGAAGAATGTCTTACTCCGAACCAATACTTGCAACTCGTTGATTGAATTGGTTTCAAAGAGTAGAGGTTGTTTTGCTGGATACGATTTGTACAGGGAGATTTTTTGTGTTGATGCCAAGAATTTGGATAGGAACGGAAAATGCAGTGTGGGATTTTCTCCAAATGCAAATACACTGAATGTGGTTATGGTTGGTTTCTATAGAGAAGGTTTGATGGATAAGGTCGAGGAATTATGGAAAGAATTTGAGAGAGTTGGCTTTGTGCCGAATATGTATAGCTTTAATGTGTTAATGGCTGCGTATTGTGATGAGGGGAAAATGGAGGATGCCATGAGGTTATGGAGGGAAATAGATGATCGAGGCTTGCAACATGACACGGTGTCTTATAATACGATTATTGGTGGTTTTTGCAGGTTTGGAGAGGTTTCAAAAGCTGAGGAGATTTATAGAGAGATGGTGATGAAAGGACTCGAGAGCACTTGTCTCACTTTTGAGCATCTTATAAATGGGTATTGTATAGTTGGGGACCCTGATTCTGCAATGTTGGTGTATAAGGATATGTGCAGGAAGAATTTCAGTCCAGAGAGTTTGACTGTTAATGCCATGGTTAGGTTGCTGTGTGAAAAGAATGAAATTTCAACTGCAATTGGTTTTTGGAAGATGGTAGTAAAGAAAGACAGGGTTTGCATGGAGAAGGAGAATTATGCAAGTATGATAAGGGGATTATGTGCGAAGGGGATGATGGAAGAGGCTTTAGAGCTTCAGGCGGAGATGGCGATGAGAGGGTTTGAACCAGATTTGGAGATTTATAGCTCATTTATTGATGGATATGTGAAAGAAGGCAACGGAATAACGGCAAGTAAACTGAGGGAAGAAATGCACTGTAGGCAGACTTCTGAAGAGTAGAGATGGATGGTGTGATTTAAGATAAAATGTGTTTTGCAGCAACTTAAAGTAGAATGGTTTTTCCAAAGGGTGCAAAAATTAGTTCACTTGACAGATGGTGATTTCCTAATCTTTATTTCCTTCTTGAAATTTGCGTAGCTTCTTAATATTTTGGATGTTTGGGGTTTTGCTGGACATTTTGGTGCAAGGCAAGGATATTTTGTCGCCTCTATGATATGGATAGTTAGTCTCAGATATAGTTATAGTGACGTTAGATGCTCAAGGGACTCGTCTTTCTATTGGATTTGGAAGGTAAATCATTTTGACAGCTGACTTTTACTTTCTGGAAGTTTTTTGCCAATGTCCCATACATACATTTTTCCTAATTTTTCATTTGATACATACCTGATTTCTTTACACCCGTATCCTAGCCTCCCCCACCCCACCTTAAATTTCTAATTTTTCACTAGTTCAATACAGCCCAAATTGCTGATTCCCGACTTCTATCGATTGCTCACTTGTTTCCCTTTTCCAAGAAAAATGATAATAAACAGTAACTAGAGTTGCGCATTTGACTTGTCGTCATTGACATATTTTGAATTGTATACAATTGAGTAGCTTATTTTTAGAGATTTTTTCAGTATCCACAAATAGTCAAATACATGCACACACACACATATTTACATGCTTCATTTACTGTGATTCTTTGGCATCCACTTACATAAGCCTGAGTTCTGTTGCAGGGAACTTATGGTAAGGTATGACTGTTTTATCTACCCATAAACAGCAGATATCTGTTATTTCTATAGTCAACATTGCGAGCACTTTATATGACCTGCTTCACCAAATGCTGCATAAAATTGAGCTCCACGTGTTCTCAGGTAGCGCTCGTGCAGTCTTTGAACTGTTATTCGGTACTATTTTGGGGTATTTACAAAATCTACCTTGAGGTTTGTCCTCATAATAAAAAAAAAAAAAAAGGGAAGAAAAGAAACAGAAAGAGTTGTTGGTGCAGTTTATATAATCGACAAATATCAACGAGGTTTTCATAATTTTGAATGAGTAATTGTATTTCTGTGACTAGGTTAAATTTCAGTGGTCAATGTCTAACGAGGGGAGAAGCCAGAGATTGGAAAGTGATGAGGTCAGCACAAGCAACCACGATGAGAATGCAGTTGCAGCTGAAATCTGATAATTACGACACAGTTTTTTAGGGCAAAAGGAGACATCAGCTTTGATCAGAATGTCAACTATGCTTGCACTTGAGCTTGCTGCTGCTAGTGTGAGAATTGATAACACCTGTGAGCATACACTTCTCTTACATTATGAACTGTAATGTCTTTGAGGATTAACTAGAAAAACTACCACTATGGGTTGGCCTAATTGCAAAAGAAGAACAAAATCAAGAGAAAGGAACAAATAGCAACCACCTCCCTAAACTATATATATATATCCCGTATAGTGGTCAATCACTTTCTTGAGGTTTGTATTTTCTTNTAGGTACCGAGTCCCCTAAAATGATGATCTGCATTATTCCTGATTGATGCACGGGGAACTTAGTCACAATGGAATACCCGTCAAGTATGGCCAAGGTGAAGCTCCATGGAATGACTAAGCCCATTATTGTCACCAAAAAACTGCGATATGAAAATGGAAACTAATTTAGTGCATTCGTCATACTAAACATGTGAGTCAGCACAAGTACATGATGATAACTGCCCTTTATGGCTCAGTCCAAAATTGCAACCTTATATGAACTTTTGTTATTTGATAATCAATGGACTAATTAAACTGTCTGAAGTGGAAGCTTTCACTTCTCTTTTACAAAAGATGCTCCAAAGGAGGGAGGCATATTGCAAAATTAACTCGTACTTCAATTAGATATAGCAGTACTTGAGCTTTTTGTTGCTTTTGTTGGTTTGTGTGTGTCTGTGTGTGCTTCCTTCGTTCTCCAATTTCGTAATCTTAAAAGATTATTCATTATTAGGCCAAACTGTTGGGGAATTAGTTGTATTTATGTCCTTTCACAGTGCAGGTATAGATATACATGGATCAGAATTAGAGTATTGGAGATTGGAGAATAATTACCAGAAGGCTGTATAACTGTAGAACCCAACTCCCAAAGACATGAATAAAATCGATGATGCCGAGGAGATGGCTTGGCCCAGTCTCAAAGCTAGACTACCGCAAGTTCCAATGGACCCTGGTATATTTTTCATCGCTCAATTCGCAGTTAATCAGGGACTACTGTTGTTTTTTCCATTGGAAGTTGCTAGTAATTGCCTTCTGCCATTGATGAGCTCCTCCAATTACAAATATGTGCCACCAGAAAAACTATGAAATTCAATCATTGAAATTCCTGAAAGTGATCGGCTTAATTATTGATTTCAGAAATTACCAAAATCCACCTTGCCCAGCTTTTTCTGTTTTTTTAAAAGAAAATAATGGTTTGAGAGCTGCTAGGAATTAGGATTAAAAATGGTGGGAAGAAAGAAGTCTTGTAACAGAATTTATTTATGGATGCACGCTCTCTTCTATTATGTTTTTGGAGCCTTTAATGTTGGAAATTTTATTTTTTCTTTTTAGTTTTAGTTTTTTTAAGTGGTGTTCAAGAAATTAGATGGTTCTTTTTGTTGCATATGTTGTGATGTGTGTAGTCCGTTTGTATTGGACTGGACATTTAATTTTCTTTTGGTCTTATTTTCGATTGTTACAGTTTCTACATTGCTATCAATCCAATCTAGTCGTAGTAGGGAACCACTTCATAAATTTCCATTCAAAGTCATTCTTGCCGACATGCAATCCTACGGTGGGAAATAGAGTAGATATGAACCTTCCATTTGTGCATATATACACGGTCCAGATGCATTCCTTAACAAAGTTACCATGAGTAGCACCATAGATGAGAAAAGCAGAATAACGTAGGTATAAGAAAAAAATGGGGTGTTCCCAACCACCGTCACATCTTCAATTCTTAGATTCAAACTATTTTATGCAAAAAAAAAGCCC